CTCCTCCTCCTCCTCCTCCTCCTCCTCCTCTCTTTGTCGCCACGCGAGGCCCCGCCCCGCGGGCCCTGGCCTCCGAGCTCCGCGCGCACTGTTGCGGGGCCAGCACCCGCGGGCCCCAACGGGCTGGGCCGCCCGTCGGGGCCACCTCACGAGCCAGGGCCTCGCCCCCACGCCCGCGGGGCGCGAGCAGGAGCGGTCCCGCCCCCTTGCGCGGCAGCACGGGGGGGAGGCTCGAGGGTCGAGGGTCGAGCAAGACCCAGACCCACTCGCGGCGCGACAAAAAAACGGCACGACGGGAGGTGTTTCGCAAGCTTCGGCCTCTGGGGGCCCTCGCCGGGCCTCGGGACCGTCCAGAAACGACTCGGGACGAGAAACTGGTCCTGGGGAAGGGGTCGAGACCTCTGAGGGTCGACGCTGCGAAAGAATCACGACGTCGGGGGTCTGGGCTCGAGGATGGACAAAGATTCTTGCACCATTTTTCGAATTCCGGGAGCTATTTTCGGGCCCCAAGGCCGTCCAAAACGAATCTGGGGTGAAACTTCGCACCAGATGGACCCCGGGAGGGGTCCGGGGACAGATTTTGAGCGGATTTGGCTTTATCCCCCCGCCGCCACAGCTGCAGTGGCCAGAGTCGGGGCTGCTAAAGGTGCACCTGGCCCAAGGTGTCCCCAGCTGTTCGCTCCATTCTGAATCCCGTGGTGCCCTCTGGGCCTCGTGAGGGATGCTCTGGAGTCAGTGGGGACCTCGCTGGAAATCATGTGGGCACCTTGGGCCAAGGTTACTTCTAGCAACATCCGACAGAGAGAGCAGAAATATACAATACCACTATTATCCTGGCGAAGGGCCCAATCACACGCAGTTGTGAATATCGCCGTTGTGGGTATCGCCTTTGGCGGATCTCCTTATGGGGCCACGAAGCGTGTAAAGAGTGTACCAAAATGCGGCGGGGACGCATGCGGGCGCAGCAACTGGGGCCTTCGGTGGAGCTCCATACGGGGCCACGAAACGTGTGAGGGGTGTAGCGACATGCAGCGGGGCCGCCATGCGAACGTCGCCACTGGGGCTAGGTGGAGTTCCCCAATGGGGGCACGAAACGCGTGAGGGTATGCCAAGATGGGCGGGGAGGAACGCATGCGAACGTCGCCACTGGAGCCTTCTGTGGAGCTCCCTATGGGGTCACGAAGAGTTCGAGGGGTGTGCCAAAATGGGCGGAGTGTGAGCATGTGATTACAGCCAGTTGGGCCTTGGTCGGAGCTTCGTACGGGGCCACGAAACGCTGTACTGGGTGGCGCGGACGCATGAGATGACGGCCACTGGGGCCTTCGGTGGAGCTTCCTGTGGGGCCACGAAACGCCGTACTGGGTCGCGCGGGACGCATGTGGTCACAGCCACTGGGGGCCTTCGGTGGAGCTCCCTATGGGTCCAAAACGCCGCAGCGGTTGGCGCGGAACGCATGTGGTCACAGCCACGGGGGCCTTCGGTGGAGCTCCCTACGGGGCCACGAAACGCCGTAGTGGTTGGCGCGGAACGCATGTGGTCACAGCCACTGGGGCCTTCGGTGGAACTCGCTGTGGAGTCGCAAAACGCAGCACTGGGTGGCGCGGTACGCATGTGGTCACAGCCACTGGGGCCTTTGGTGGAGCTCCCTGTGGGGCCACGAGGCGCCGTACTGGGTGGCGCGGAACGCATGTGGTCACAGCCACTGGGGCCTTCGGTGGAGCTCCTTGTGGGGCCACGAAACGCCGTAGCGGGTGGCGCGGGACGCATGTGGTCACAGCCATTGGGCCAATCGGTGAAGTTCCCCATGGGGCCACGAAGCGCCGTATTGGGTGGCGCGGAACGCATGTGTTCACAGCCACGGGGGCCTTTGGTGGAGCTCCCTATGGGGCCGCGAAACGCCGTAGTAGTTGGCGCGGAACGCATGTGGTCACAGCCACCGGGGCCTTCGGTGGAGCTCCCCATGGGGCCACGAAGCGCCGTACTGTGTGCGGAGGGCCGAGGCTGGGATGGGAGGAGGAGCGGGAGGAGGAAGGAGAGGAGACGCGGGGCGATGTCTCTTCAAAGCGACGACCCAACACCACAGGGTGGTTGAGCACGAAAAAAACGGGAGGTTCGCGTCGTGCCAGCCGGCGGTGACCCCGCCGCCGGCGTTCAAAGTTCAACGCGCCGACGACCCAAATTCGGTCGATGTTCAACGACCTGACGTTTCGGAAAACGCTGATCGTTCAAGGACGAACGATCCCAGCGGTGTAAGGCACCAACGCCGAAGTCGGTACGACGCGAACCTGCCGTATAAGCAATGAAAGGGCTCGGGCGTGCGGGCGCGGCCCCAAGGACAGGAGAAAGTTGCGCGATGCGCTGGCGTCTGTTGCGGAGGCGCACGGCACCCACCCTCGCCGTCGTCGTCGACGAGGTCGTCGTCGACGGGGTCGTCGTCGTCCTTCCTTCTCCTCCTCCTCCTCCTCCTCCTCCTCCTCCTCATCATCATCATCGTCCTCGTCCTGCTCCTGATCCTCCTCCTCCTCCACCTCCTTCTTCTCCTCGTCCACGTCCTCCTCCTCCTCCTCCTCCTCCTCCTCCTCCTCCTCCTCCTCCTCCTCCTCCTCCTCCTCCTACTCCTCCCCCATTCGACCTCCTCTTTTGGCATCCTTCTTCGGCCTCCTCCTCCGCATCCTCCTCTTTTTGTTAGCCCTTCTGCGCTCGAATAGCGTCGCAGGGACTGTGATTCAGAAGGGCACACGCTTCTGCGAGCCAAAGTTTTGCGGGTACAGTCCCGCCCCTTCCATCAACACTTCTCGCCCACCAGAGTTCGTTCTGCTATGGCGCTGGACGCGCGCTGGGGCAAGGGGTGGCCGTGGCTGGGGGCGCAAACTCGTGTGAAAACAGCGCACCAACGCGGAAGTAATCGGAACTCGACGTAGGCATACCATTCATGTAGTTGCAAGGAGAAGCAGGAGTGGCGGCAATGCAAAGGTTGTTGGGCCCACCGATCTCAGCCAAGGTTCGGCATGCAGCCGTCGCCGTCTGCTGCGTGGACTGTCATGTCGCCCCCTGGGACTTGGTCTGCTCCTTTGCCTGCTCGCCCTGGCCCTCAGCTCCTGGGAGCTACGCCAGGACAAGGCGCTCCTTCAGTGGACGAAGTCACGCGCCTCCGAGAGTTGGTCCACATGTTGCGAGGCGTGGGAGACGTGGAAGGGGCCGTCAAGTACTAAATCAATTCGCTTAGAAGCTTGTGGTACAGAAGGTCGTACCCCCGCCCCCCTGGAGCAGCAGGTCGGCAAGGCCGTCCACGAGATGCGCGGGCTGGAGGGCAAGTTCAGCAAGGCTGTCAACTGCTTCGACAGTTTCCAGCGTGAGTTGGCACAACAGAAAAAGTGGTGTCTAAGCTTGCTGAGGCGCTCACAGCCGAAGAGGCTAACCACAAACAGCTGGTGCAAGAATTGGAACTTCGGGTTGATGAAGGTGGAGACAGTACCGCTACACCCGTCGCTATGGAGTCGGGTGTTGCCGAGCTCAGCATCGACGAAATACTGGGTGGCAAGCAGATCCCCATCAACATGGACTCGTTGCTGGCGGTGGACGACGAATACGAGCTCAGCGCTGAGGACAAAGTGGAAGCCGACAAGCCCACAAGAGGCTCAAAGCGTTGCACGAGAGTATCCAATCCACTGTCCAGCAGTTCTCCGGGAATGCAGCCGAGAACGCGGCAAAGTTCAGAGACGAACAAAAGAAGCAGCTAGCTAGGCTGGCATCACAAAAATATATGTGTGTTCGTCCACCAGGTGCCGCAGCAGGTGCTCTGACGAAGCCGCCGAAGCTGCCGAAGCCGTTCCTCCCTGCGAGTGGTAAGTCGGGCATGTCCCTCTACAGGAAGAACACTTGGCTATGATTTATGGTTTATGTGTCTTCCAAAACCCGTCAACAGGAGGACATGCCCGACCTGATGCTGGTGCAGCGTCGGGTGCAAACCAGCCCGATGACGGGCGAGCCCGCGCAGCCACTGTCTCACAGGGGTCGGGGGGTCGCTGGCCGCTGGCCAGTAGGCTTGGGCCTCCCAGATGGGATAGGAGCAGATGGGGTCGGAGGAACGCGCCGCATCGCCGATGCATCGCCGATGCGGGTCGATGTGGAGCCCGATGTGCTTCACGTCGGCGTCGCCGATACATCGCCCAAGTCGACGATTCATCCATCGCCAATACATCGCCGAAGTACCGGCGATGCGGCGCGATCCTCCGACCCCATCTGCTCCGATCCCACCACGGAGACCTGCAGTAGGCTAGCACTGACGTCAAGAGGGGTCTTTCTCTTTGTGCGGGCCCCCGACAGGGCTCGCACTGGGGCCTGTTGTGAACTTTGTGAGAGCGTATGCGAGCCCGTTGGGGACCCCGAGGCCGTCGCCACCTTTGCCGCAGCTAGGCTTAGAATCAGCGGTCTTATTGCGCAACCCCCGCGAGGAGTTCGGGGCCATTCTCGCGGTGAGTGCTGGCCGGAGTCTTGGTCACCGCGTCCGCTTCTCGAAGGCCTTGAGTTTCCGTTTTCTGCGTTCACTTGAGTGGATATCCCAGGCTGGCGACTCCGCCGCTGATTATATCCTGCATCCAGCTGTCTCCAGGTCTCACGGTGGGGATGAGGAGGAGGCGGAGGAGGATGGGGAGGAGGAGGAGGAGGAGGAGGGAGGAGGAGGAGGAGGAGGAGCCAGGCCTGTGAGGAGGAGGAGGAGGAGGAGGAGGAGGCGGAGGAGGAGGAGGAGGAGGATGGGGAGGAGGAGGATGGGGAGGAGGAGGAGGAGGAGGAGGAGGAGGGAGGAGGAGAAGGAGGAGGAGGAGGAGGAGGAGGAGGAGCCAGGCACGCCCTGCGCAGAGCCAAGGGCCCCCTGCCACATGTGCCCAGCAGCCCCCCAGGCGCCCCAGCCCGTGGCCTGCATGGGCCCGCGCGTGTCTGCTGGATGCCCCAGTGGCGCCGAGCAGCTGGTCTCCTCCTCCTCCTCCTCCTCCTCCTCCTCCTCCTCCTCCTCCTGCTCCTGCTCCTGCTCCTCCTCCTCCTCCTCCTCCTCCTCTGCCTCTGGAGGCATCGTTTTTTCCAAGCGATGCGTCCAGGAAGCAATGCCCATTGGACAGTGGGGCACCGCTGTCAGCGCGCTGAAGGGGGGGGCGGGGAGCGCCTGGAGGAGCCTGGCCGCTTTCCCAGAGGAGCACAGGAATTTCTCGTTGACAGTGGGGCCCCACTGTCAAATGGGCCTGGTCGGCCGAGGCGTACACGTGAATCGACAGTGCGGCCCCATTGTCAATGGCAAAATTCGATGTTCTGGAATCCGCCCGCCGACAGCGGGGCCCCACTGTCAAATGACCCTGGGCAGCCGAGGCGGGATGTGTTTTGTTGATCGTGGGGCCCCACTGTCGATGACTCGTCCGGAACCCAAGGGGGGCAAATTTCCGGATTGGGATCCTTGTGGGGGGGATTACGAAGGGGATTATCTCACAAAGGATTGGCGGATGTTGTTACGCGCGTGGGGGATTTCGGCGAGCAGTTGCAGTTGACGGTCGTCCCACCAGCCACGCTGAAGCACCTGCTGCATCAGGCATAGTTCTGGTCCCCCGAGCGTGCATCCGCGACTGAGCGTGGCATCCCTTGCGTTCGACTATGCTTCCACATCGTGAGGAACGGGCTGCGGTCTGCAAGGATCTCCGAAGGGCGAGGGCCCAATTCGAGGTCTCACTTGCGACGTGTCGTGGATTCGTTGGGGGCCGGTGCGAGCAGGGCCCCAGGCGGCGGACGACAGGTGCCCGCGGCGCGGCCAAGTCGGGGACACGGAGTTCCACCGACTGCGGGTTTGCTTCTGCGTCGCCTCCTTGAGGGAGGGGCTCGTCAGTCAGGACGTCATCGATAGCGACGCTGCCGTGGACCTGACCAGCCCCGAAGTAGAGCTGCCGTAGACCGGGCGCACTGTCCCCCGCCCTGGGGATGGTTTCCCGAGACCCGCCCAACAAGACATCGTTTTCCAGGCCAGGATGCGTTGTGGAGAAGCCACCCACGACCAGGGCGCTGGCAAGCTTGCAGGGGATATGTCGTGGACGGGAGCTGCTACAAACACGAGATCTGGCTACGGTCTTGCCTGAATTGGACAAGATGGGCTCCCACGTGCTCGATTGTTTGGCCCAGCCCATGCCCCTTTCGCCCAAGCTGCGGGCAGGGCTCGTGGGGGCATGGAGGCGGAAGGCCCTTCGGTGTGTGTCGGCGACAGTGCCAGCCTTGTCCTTGAGAGCGCCAGCGAGCCAGTTGCGCAGTCGAGCTGCACTCGCCTATTAGTGGCCCTGGTGATGATGTACCGTTTGTGAGTGGGCGTCGTCCAGCCGGTCGTCAGGGTTCAGGCTCCCAGAGACCCGCCCGAATCGGGCACCTCCTCCAGAGCGCTGGAAGCGCCCGGGGGACGACGAGGCCGACATGGCCGCCAAGCTCGGTGCTGCTGGTCGCCCGTCGGCCTTAGAGGCCGAAACCCAGCAGCTGCAGCATCGCATCACGGTAGCAAGCGCTCTTGCCGTTCATTTGCTCCCCAGGGTGGCTGCGCCTGGACCTCTCAGAGTCCCGCGGGGTAGCCCCCAACAGAGTCCCGAAGGGTTCCAGAGGGAAATCTCGCCGCCAGTGGCCCCCCGCTGGTCCCCTCGGACTCGTCATGGCGTCAGCAATGCCAGCTGTGCCTGACATTGCGCAGGAGGACTTGGGATCGGCCCCTTGTTGGAGGCGAGTGCGAGAACGCTTCCAACTTGGACGGCCCCAGATTTCGGGCACCGAGCCATCATGCAATGACGCCTTGGCGACGTTCCAGGCTTGCTCAGCGCTGGAGCCTGGGCAGCCCACGCGGAACCAGACATTTCGTTATCAATCGAAAGAACGAGGGTTATTCACCCAAAGCGTCCGACCTCACGATTGAGGGCGTCATGCGGCGCTACTTCCCAACCGTGCAGCTCGTACACAAATCATCAGCATCCCCTGCTCCTTCTCCTCCTTCTCTTCCCCCCTCCTCCCCCATCCTCCATCCCTCCCTCCCTCCTCGTCCTTCCTCCCCATCCTCGTCCTCCGTCCTCCTCCTTCTCCTTCCTCCACCCTCCTCCGCCCCATGAGTCCTCCCTCCTCCTTCATCCCCAATCCTCCTATCCATGTTTCTTATCCGGCTGCGTGTGTGCCAGCATTATATTCTCGGAGGGAACTGCTCGAGTGACGACAGGAGGCAGTAACATGTGAATCGATCGGCGGTTGGAGTAATTGTCAGAAGGCCGTCGCATGTAACCCTTCGGCCGCCTTGAGCATATATTGAATCACCTGAGGTCGTCGTGGGGTGGAGCAGGAGGAAGAAGGAAACGATGACGAGGGGGGGATAGGCGTTACAGGTGCAGTGTACGTTGACGATTGGAGTAACAGTCAGAACGCCGTCGCATGTCACACTTCGGTCGTCTTGGACGTATGTTGTATTATGTGAGGCCGTCCTCGGGCGGAGTAGGAGGATGAAAGTAACGATGATGAGGAGGGGGGGATAATGACGAGAACGGAGGAAAAGGAGGAGGAGGAACATCGTAGTGGACAAGTGCGATGTGGACCATCATGGTAATAGTGATGTTGAGGAGCTTATTTGGGGTTGGCGGCTGCCTTGGGCTCATGTGGGGCAGTCTTGGGGTCCACCGGGGCCGTCTTGGGGCTTCTTGGGGCTCTCTTGGGCCGTCTTGGGGCGCTCTTGGGCTGTCTGTGGCCCTTCTTGTCTGTTTGGGAGGTTCCTCGGGGCCGCCTGGGGCCGTCGTACGGCTCTCAAAGGCCGTCTCGGGTTTCTCGGGGGGCATTATTTGGCCAGCTTGGTGCTCTCAAGGGACCGTCTTGGGCGACCTGCGGGTTATCTTGAGACCGACTTTGATTATTATTGGGCGATGTGGGGGCCCTCTTGAGCAGTTTTGGAGCCAAGGTTTCCAGGGCCGTCTGGAGCTGAAGGAAGCCCGAACAGGTGAAGATGCCAAAATCTTTCAACCACTTTAGGGAAGTCAATGAGTTGGGCTTCTTCGGGCCCTGGGTTATCTTATGGTCATCTTGGGTCGTTTGGGGGTCCTCTTGAGATGCCTTGAGGCTGGATTGGACCGCTTTAAGGCCATCTTGGGCCGTCATGGAGGCATATTCGGGAGCGCGGACGCATTGTTGTTCACTCTTCGTTTTGAAGAGACAGCGCCCCGCGTTCATTCCACCTCTCCCCTCCTCATCCTCCCCCGCCTCCCGCCTCCTTTTTGTCTCTGCCCTCCGCATGTCCTCAAACTTCGGCACGCCGCTCGCACGTTTCGCGGCCCCATAGGCAGCTCCGCCGAAGGCCTCAGTGGCAGGGTTCGCAGGGCACCACCGCACCAAACGGCACACCCCTCACACGCTTCGTGGTTCCATAGGGGGGCTCCACAAAGGCCCCAGTGGCAGGGTTCGCGTGGCGCCACCGCGCCCATGTCAGCACACCCCTCACACGCTTCGTGGCCCCATGCGGAGCTCCACCGAAGGCCCCAATGGCAGGGTTCGCATGGCGCCACCGCACCTATTTCGGCACACCCCTCGCACATTCCGTGGCCCCCTTAGGGAGCCCCACCGAATGCTCCAGTGGCAGGGTTCGCATGGCGCCACCGCACCCATGTCGGCACACCTCTCACACCTTTCGTGGCCCCGCAGGAGCCCCACTGGCAGGGTTCGCTTGGCGTCACCGGAGCCATTTCGGCTCACCCCTCTCACGCTTCGTGGCCGCATATGGGGCTACACCGAAGGCCCTAGTGGCAGGGTTCGAATGACGCCACCGCACCCGTTCGCCACATCCCTCACACGCTCCGTGGGCCCATAGGAAGCTCCACCGAAGGCGGCGCTCACAATTGCGGCACGCGCAACTACATATGGTCGGGTTCTTCGCCAGGATAATGTTACAAGGGATCGTGGTTTCGGGAGCGCGGACCCATCGCTGTTTCTAGGGACAGGGGGGGGGGGGAGGGGGCGGTGCACGCTTCTGGGCGCGTCGAGCGAGGGGGAGGGCCCGCTCCAGAAGATCGCAAGGCCCTGCCATCGAGAGGCGAGCCCCTTTCTGGAAGGACCTCCCCGCGGGACGCCAGCGCCGACGTCGACCGCTCCCTGGGGGAGCCCACGCCCTCGCTCTGCCTCCGCGGCGCCCTCGGCTGGCCGCCGCTGGGGGGCCAGCCGCCAAGGGCCATCGACCCCCGCGAGGGGCGGGCCCCTCCTCGGGAACGCCCACGCCGAGGGCGGAGCCTCCAGCCGGTGCCGATGCCTCCTCCCTCCTCCTCCTCCTCCTCCTCCTCCTCCTCTCCTCCTCCTCCTCCTCCTCCTCCTCCTCCTCCTCCTCCTCCTCCTCCTCCTCCTCCTCCTCCTCCTCCCCTCCTCCCTCCTCCTCCTCCTCCTCCTCCTCCTCCTCCTCCTCCTCCTCCTCCTCCTCCTCCTCCTCCTCCTCCTCCTCCTCCTCCTCCCTCCTCCTCCTCCTCCTCCTCCTCCTCCTCCTCCTCCTCCTCCTCCTCCTCCTCCTCCTCCTCCCTCCAGACTGGGCTCGGCCGCCGCCCGCCGGCCTTGCTCTCCCAGGCTCCGCGCCGCTCGGCGCACGGAGGCCACCGGCGCGCAGGCCTCGTCGGAAGCATCGGGCCTCGGAGGATCCGAGGATGGCGAGCCGAGGCAGCGGCAGTCGGCCTTCGGGGGGGGGGGGGGGGCGCTCTCGTCGCCGCGGCTGGACGCCGCTTGGGAAACTGCAGCACGTGAGCAAGTGGATCCCAGGAGGGGGGCCCCGGGTGCCGTTGTGTCGGCTGCAGTTGTCTCAGCTCTCGGGGGCGGCCAAGAGGAGGGGGGGCGGATGACTAGGGGGTGGGGATACCATGGCCTGGGCCACGACATCTCCCCGAGTCTCCTGACACCCCTTTTTCCTTGCTTCCCCCCCCTCGTCCGCACACGTGCCTGGGGCAACGATTTGCGACCGCCCCCCCCCCCCCCCCTTGGACGCCCGCCATCTGGACGCCCCCGACGCTCGCCCTGCTCCGCAACGAGGTCTGGGCCCCCCACCCTTGAGTCGGGCCTGTCCCACTACAGGAATATTCAAAAATAGAGAGAGGAAAAAAAAGTCTGGGGACGATGTGTTCTATTATTGTTTGGCTATGTTGGGGCATCCTTTGACTAGTTGTTTTTTTTTGCTCCTCCAAAATCTGCCTGCAGGAGGACATGCCCGACCTAACCCCAACCGGTCCAGCGCAGGGCCGTCCGTGCAGATGCCGCCAGCCCGCCGCGCGCGCAGGGAGGGCCCCGCGGCCGCGACCTCGATCGAGGAGCGGCCCCGCGCCGCGCCACGGCGCGGCGGGGGCCGCTCGCGCGGGAAGGGTCGGACTTCTGGCTTCTGCTTTAGGTTCCAATCCTCCTCCTCCTCCTCCTCCTCCTCCTCCTCCTCCTCCTCCTCCTCCTCCTCCTCCTCCTCCTCCTGCTCCTGCTCCTCCTCCTCCTCCTCCTCCTCCTCCTCCTCCTCCTCCTCCTCCCTCCTCCTCCTCCTCTTCCTCCTCGTCTCCTCCTCCTCCTCCTCCTCCTCCTCCTCCTCCTCCTCCTCCTCCTCCTCCTCCTCCTCCTCCTCAAAGGTGCCTGTGGCCACGCGGGTGTGAGGTCTGGAGGCCCGCCCGCATACAGTGGAGGCCCATGCCAAGAAGCACCCTGCGTGCCTCCAGGGTGCCCTGGGTTTCTTGGGCTTCGAGGGTTTTGCTCCGGAAGGCGTGGCGTCCCCACGCCGAAAAATCAGTGGGCGTCCTGGGGTCTCAGGGTTGGCTGGAAGGTTTCTTGCGGCCGGGCCTCCACTGTAGCCGCCCAGTCAGCATGGGGCGGCGGCGGCGGCGGCTCGCGCGAAGGCAGTCGCGCTTCGCGGCGCGAAGCTCCAGGCCTCCCAGATGGGGTCCGAGTAGATGGGGTCGGAGGACAGCCGCCGCCCACGGAGGCCACCGGCGTGCAGGGGACCATCCTCATCGCGGACACGAACGAGGACTTCAGCGTCTCCAACGACAAGGCCGATCGTTGCGCCGCGCTGCCGGTCGTGCCGCCTTATGAGCGCCCCGTCCTCGCATCTCGAGGAACACATACACGTCACCACAGAGCTGGCACCACACAGCTTACACCTCACAAGCTCCACGGCATGACTCCCATGACGTAGCGTACACCACATAGTTTGCACCCCCAGCTCGCACCGCCTAGCTTACACTATACCGGAGCAAGACCCCAATCAGAAGACGAGGGGGATGAAGGGAAAGAGGGAGAGATATTGGATAACCCTGAGAAAAGAAACAGACAGAACGATTAGATAACGCATTGCGCATCAAAGAGTGAGACGGATATAAAGAGCTACCAAGAGAGAGAGCGAGAGAGGGGGAGAGAGAGAGAGAGGTGAAGGAGAGAGATAGTGCATAACACGGAGAGAAAAATCAGACATAACAAGTAGATAATGTATTGCGTCTCGGGGAAACACGAAAGAGTGAGATTGAGAGAGAGAGAGAGAGAGAAAAAAAAAAAAGAGAGAGAGAGAGAGATGGAGTGCCCACCGACAGCATTGATTTGGAGAGATACCAGAGAGAGAAAAACAGAGAGAGAGAGAGAGAGAGAAGACGCCCACAGACAGCCGCCCACCGAGAGCCGCCCACCGAAATCGGCCAGCTACTGGTAAGTCGGGCCTGCCCCTCTACAGGAGGAGTATTCAAAAATAGTCCAAAAAATAGTATGAGGACGATTTGTTGCCCATGTGGGGGGGCATTGTTTTGATATTTATATTTTTCGCCTAAAATCCCCTGTAGGGGGACACGCCCGATTTGAAGTTACTTTCGCCAATCTCTCGAGGGGGCGCCCACCGAAAGCCGCCCACGAGGAGCCGCCCACCGAAATCGGCCAGCCATTTTCGCTAATATTTTCTGTGTCCGCTAGGACCCCTTCAGTGTAAACACTGAGTGGGGAACGACATGGCGTACGACACCTAGCGCACACCGCATAGCCTCGACCTCCTCAGATCATACCACATAGCTTACACCACCAGCTTTCACCTCATAGCTAACAGCGCATAGCCTTCACCTCCACACTGCACGAACGTACTGCGCGTATTCGCGATCATCATGTTCAAGTTTATCGAATCGCATCCTGTCCAGAGAGGTATCAACACCCCCCGCTACCTCCTGTACGAAGTACGATGCAGTGCACATGGGCTTATACCTCAATCACAACTTGCCTCAGTAGGGGTCCTAGCGGATTCATATGGCTAGGTGAGGTGGGTCGCCGATTTCGGTGGCTGGCCCTGGGGCGCGGGGGTGCCCGGGTGTTCCTATCGCCCTATACCCCTATACCCCTATAGCCATATAACCCTATAGCCCTATAGCACTACAGCCCTACACCGCTACAGCCCTACAGCCCTACAGCCCTACAGCCCTAGAGCCCTAGAGCCCTATAGCCCTGTAGCCATACAGCTCTACAGCCCAATAGCCCAATAGCCCTATAGCCCTATAGCCCATATAGCCCTATAGCCCTTTAGCCCTACAGCCCTGTAGCCCTACAGCAGCCCTATAGCCCTATTGCCCCATAGCCCTAAAGCCCTATAGCCCTGTAGCCCTAAACAAAATCTGACTGCGTTTTGTTCCGGTATCATTTAAGATTTGTGTTCAAGGAATATTTGGCCAAACGTACGATGTGGGGCACATGCGCGCCGCCGCAAACATGTCACAATCAGCTATGACGCATCCGTGTGCTCACCATTTTTCAGACATAGCTGCCCCAAAGCGATCCCGCAAAAATCACCCGAAAAAGCTACAGGTTTCAGCAAATCCATCAAGTGACGCCATGCGGGTCATCGGGCCCTCCACGGGCCCCAGGACCGTCAAAGATGACCTAGGAAAGATTTGGTCCTGGAGGGGGAGCACCTCAGGGGGCCCCAGAGGTCTGGGCCACTTCCATAGGGCCGGTTTCTCGTGCTGAGTCGATTTTCACGTTCCCGAGGCCTGGCGAGGTCCCCCGGAAGCCGAAATGGCCAAAAGCCCGCAGCGCCGATTTTCTCGGACGTCGGATCTCTGGGCCAGAGGCTCTGGGAGGGGCGGCGGGGCCGCCGTCGACGCCGCCCAGCGGGGGGGGTAGTGGTCCCTACTTGTTTCGCAATTTGCTGAGGTTTCCCCTAGGACTTCCATGAGAAATCGAAGTTCAACTTATGGAGAAGAGGGGCATCGTTCCTCATTTCGGGTTCCTTGTGACAGACGGTAGCGGGGCCGCCGTCAAAGCCGCGCAGCGGTGGGGCTGTAAGTGCGCCTCGGGTCGAGTCGGGCATGTCCCTCTACAGGAGGACCATTCAAGAACAGTGAGGAAAAGTACGGGGACGATGTTTCGTGCTTTCGTTGGCCATGTTGGAGCATTGTCGGACTATCCCTCGCCCTCCTCCTTCCTGGCCGACCACCCTGAAGGTATGGAAGGTGATGCTGCAAACACGTGTCTTGAATGCCTCTGGGTGTCTCGCTTGTCTTCAGATGTCATCATACGGTCGCACCGAGGTATAAGATCGAGATTGCTTCGGTGAGGGTACCTTAATGTTCTTGGTGCTTGTTGGACGTCTTGTGCATCCTGGGGGAAGGCACCCTCGAGCGTTCTTCAAGTTGGCCGGCGGCGGGTCTCATGTTCTTGAAGGGTGTTCTTCTGTCCTAGATCCGACTGTATGTTTCTCACGCTGCGCCAATGTCTTGTTTGTCTTCGAGTGTCTCGTTGTCCTGGTCGTGCTTCCCCAGCCCGCCTCTAGGAGGACATGCCCGGCCGAAGCCTCGGGCGGCGCAGCAGCAGCCTCGGAGTCGACCTCTCCCGAGCGGGGTGCCTCCCCGGCGCGCCGTGTGGTCAGGGGGCCGCCCTGCCGTGGCGGGGCTGCGCGAGCGGGGCTCGACGTACGGGCCCTCGGGCTCCTCAAAGCTCGAGCTCGACGTGCTGCTGCCTACCCAGACCCCCTCGCGTCGTGGAAAATTTGTTCGCTATTTTCTGCCTTTTGGGGGCCCTCGCCGGGTCCCCAAAAGGTTTTCGCCAAAAGGGCCCTCGCGGGGCCCTCGCCTTTTCTCCCAGACGGGAGGTGTTTCGCTATTTACCTAACAGCGTAGACTGATAGGTTTCTAGTAGGATCAAAAGAGGGCAGCAGCTTACTCCACAGGGGGGTCTGGGCGGATGTCGGCGAGCTGCCGGGCGGACGCCGGGCGGACGAACCGGGCTCGTTTTTCGCCAACATTCACACACTTCGTGCTCTTCGACCTCCCAGAACTCCATTCCCGGGCCACATTTTGAATAACCGGACGCAACAGTCACACACTCCGTGCTCTTCGAGTTCCCAGAACACCATTCCCGGGCCACATTTTGAATGCCCGGAGCCAACTGTAGGCCACTTCGTGCTCTTCGACTTCCCAGAACGCCCTTCCCGGGCCACATTCTGAATGCCCAGAGCCAACTGTAGGCCACTTCGTGCTCTTCGATTTCCCAGAACACCACTCCCGGGCCACATTCTGAATGCCCGGAGCCAACTGTAGGCCACTTCGTGCTCTTCGACTGCCCCGAACGCCATCGCCGAATGCCACTCCTGCCACTCCTGGCGCACATTTTGGATGCCCGGAGCCAACTGCACGCCACTTCCTGCTCTTCCACCTCCCAGAATTCCATTCCCGGGACGCATTGTGGAGAACACGCCATTGTAGTCGTAGTAGTACTCGTACGCCTCTCCTCCTCCTTCTACTCGCTCCTCCTTTTTCTTCTCTCATCGACGTCAGAACCCTTGCCTCCTATGACGTCCTCCGCTGGCCTGGGTGGTCTACTCAGGTCGCGGAGGGGGATAGGAGGGGGGTCGTTGCCATGGCTGGTTCCCTCGAGTTGACGACGGGGAGGGGGGGGTGCACCGTTCCCTCGGATGGGCACATCCCCCCCTCCAAGGGTCTCCGAGCCCTCCCTCTCCGTCCTTTCCCTTCTCCCTTCTACTCG